TGAGACTGTGAGGACTCGGGCCTTGAAGTGAAGCTTGCGATGCTTTTTCTAGTGTCCTTCGTACGTTACTATGTTAGGGTCCAGAGTAATTAGCTGGGAAGCTAAAGTTCCTCAGTTGACCAAATCTTTCCTCGTGAAGTAAGCTCCACCTTGATATTTAAAACTATCCTACTGGCAGTTTCCTTGCGGGCCTATAGGCAAGTTAAAACTAGAACCCTAATACTGGGTGGGCTAGAGCCTGAGTTCTGAAAAGGAGACACAGCAGGCTGGGATCCAGCAGTGTGCTGATTAAGATGTGGCTAGATAGTGCTCACCCGGATCCTGTTTGTTCTTACAGGGACTATGCTGAGTCTGTGGGGCGGAAGGTGCGAGACCTCGGCATGGTTGTGGACCTGATCTTCCTTAACACAGAGGTGTCATTGTCACAAGCGCTGGAGGATGTCAGCAGGGGAGGGTCTCCCTTTGCCATTGTCATCACCCAGCAGCACCAGATTCACCGCTCCTGTACAGTCAACATCATGTTTGGAACTCCACAAGGTACAGAGACCCAAGTAGTCCAAATTCCCAGAGATAGTCGCCAGCACACTGATTCTGTGACCTGCTTGTGAGAAGTGGGTTTGGGGGAGTGGCTGATATGTTTCATCTCCAATGTAGCAGCTCCTTTTTGTGCTATCTAGGAGACTTTCATCATCATATTTTCCTTGGTGTTCTCTGATACTAATACTGGGCCTGTTGCAAGCTGTTCAACAGCCAGTTCTGCTGTAGAGGTCAGTGATGTGTCGCATTCACTGATTCCGTGACGTCAGCACTGCCATAGTACCCCATCTCAGGCCACCAGTGTCACGACTTGTGCACACCTGGCTCCCAGGGAAGTCTGGCTTAGGCGTCTGCTCCCTGAAATGCAGCTCCTGGAGACAGAGACTGTCACAGACAGGGTACTGTTTGTCGGTGTAACGGAGAACCAAGTAGAGGAGTTATGAGGACAGGAGGCGGCTCTGGCCCTCCAAAGGAAGGACAGGATCCTTCGAGTCATCCTTCAAAGTGACTTTGGTGCTTTGAGCGTCCTCCAAGCATTGACACTCAGCCACCCATGCCCTGATTGTGACTCTTAAAGCCTAACTTCCCCTTTTGCACCTGCCCAGTGTCTCGGATGGCCTGGGCTGTCACACCCATAGTCACAGGGTATGTTAGAATCCCCAAGTCATTTGTCCCTGAGGAGCTGCCCTTAGTTTGTATTAGAATGTTTATGTAAGATTCCAAGAAGTGTCCTCACCACTCTGCAATTTGATCTTGGTCCATGACTTTTGAACTGATGGATTTAAAAGTGGTGGCTCTGCCCTGAGGAGCACAGCGGGGAGCCAGGCTTTACAGAGCTTCTTTGGCCTCCTGCTGCTGTCTAGAGGCTGCAGGCTGCTCCCCACATGGTCTGTTTGACTCTGTGGGAGGCTCTTGTATTCCTTTGGTTTTTATCACAGGTCTGTGATCTAGGGATCTCACTGAAGAAATAGCTCTGTAGGAAGGTATGGTCCACCCTGAAGAGCACTGCTCTGTCCCTCAGCCTGCCTTACTCTAGGCTCAAGGCTTCTTGCCCCTGCAGTGCTTCTCTGCTTTGAGAATAAGAAAGGCACTCGGATCTATCATGGGAGAAAATAGCTTGTGTTATTGCCTCCTACAGAGCATCGCAACATGCCCCAGGCAGATGCCATGGTGCTGGTGGCCAGGAATTATGAACGCTACAAGAATAACTGTCGGGAAAAGGAACGTGAGGAGATTGCCCGACAGGCAGCCAAGATGGCTAATGAAGCCATTCTACAGGAACGAGATCGTGGAGGCCCTGAGGAGGGAGGTCGTGGGGGGCACCCTCCAGCCATTCAGAGCCTCATCAACCTGCTGGCAGACAACAGATACCTCACTGCAGAGGAGACCGACAGGGTCATCGACTACCTGCGTGGGCGGAAGGAGCGGCTCCTGAGGAGCAGCGCCGCCGACGCTCTGCCTGGTGAGCTACGTGGCAGGGCCGAGGTGAAGTTCTCTTCTCACGCTGCATTTCTCTCATCCCGTGCTCCCGGGGGAGGGGGGCATGCCCAGGGTTCTCTGCGGTGGGGAAGGGAAATGAGCCATCCACTGGCCTCTCACACAGGCCGTGCACGCTGGTGATGCTGTTAGCAATGATCTCCCTGGAGTTGGCTTAATGGGGGGTAAACTACAATTGTTGGCTCCCTGGGAGCTATGATGGATGCCCTTGTTTGTTTGTTTGTTTGTTTGTTTATTCATTCCTTTTTTCAAGCAATTTTTTGGGCTCTAGGCTGCTTTCAGCTCAGGACCATATCCTGAGATGGTCCTTTTAGAATTTGATGTTATTGTTTGTACTGTCGATTGCTGTGATGTATGATTGTTGTTCTTCCTTTGGCTGCTAGGCCTCCTGCCCTTAGGGGGCACTCTCAACCAGATGCCTCCCTCTTTTGTCTTCCAGGCCCGATTTCCCGCCAGCCACTCGGGGCGGCCTCGGGTACCTCGCTGAAGACACAATCAAGTTCCCAACCGCTTCAGAGTGGCCAAGTGCTTCCCTCTGCTACACCCACTCCAGCCGCACCCCCAACCTCCCAGCAAGAGCTTCAGGCCAAAATCCTCAGCCTCTTCAACAGTGGCACGGTCTCGGCCAACAGCAGCTCTGCATCCCCCTCGGTTGCTGCCGGGAGCTCCCAGAACCAGAATTTTTCCACAGCAGCAAACAGCCAGCCTCAGCAAAGACCACAGGCCTCAGGAAATCAGCCTCCAAGCATTGTGGGACAGGCAGGGTCTGCTCGGAACATGGGCCCCAGGCCTGGGGCTCCTTCCCAAGGGCTCTTTGGTCAGCCTTCCAGTCGCCTGGCACCTGCCAGCAACATGGCTAGCCAGAGGCCTGTATCTTCCACAGGTATTAACTTTGACAATCCAAGTGTACAAAAGGCTCTGGACACCCTGATCCAGAGTGGCCCTGCTCTTTCCCACCTGGTTAGCCAAACTGCTGCACAGGTGGGGCGGCCCCAGGCCCCCATAGGATCATACCAGAGGCATTACTGAGGCTCCACCAGTCCACTCTCCCTAGTCCCCTTTTCCCCTGGTCCCTCCCACTTCATCCTAAGTAGAGATGTTTGGAAGTGTTCTTCGCACTCTCTGGGTCAGCATCAGATATCCTAAGTTTCTTGCACCGCTCCTTCCTGCGGCTGTTGCTTACCACTTAACAGAATCAGAACTTAGACTGCTTTCGGGACTGTATCTTTTGTTTGGATAGAAAATAAGTATTTCTGGGGTCTAGGCTCAGCTTCTTTCTGATGGGGTAGCTCTGGCCCCAGCCTGGATTTGGAGGAATAAAGAAAGAAGCCAAACCCCAGCTGCCTCAGTTTGAACACCACTTATGGAGTCAGTGGTGACAGCCTTTGTTTCCACCTCCACACGTCATCCAGAATTGAGCTGCCTGGCTCGCATAGAAGCAGGTTGGCCTTGGCAGGCAGTGTCATCACTGTCCCATCAAGAGAATGGAACTCCACTCAAGGACTCCCATTGGCTACTCTGAACTGGGGAAAAGTGGACTCTTGTGCCTGTGTCACACGGTCTCTGGGGGGTTGGTTTGGTTTTGTAGTTTTCCATTTCCTTGGAGGGTCTCCAGATGACTGTGCGGCTCACTCGGCAGTTTGACATGAACTGGGACTGGGACCCACTGCTCTCCACAGCATTAGTCAGCACCTTTGTGTCCAGCAGCACTGACAGGGCAGCTCCAGTCTCCAGCACTGGACACCCATGTTTTCAGTGGGAGCCCAGGCTTTCGTTCTCATCCATACTCTTGTTCCCTTGTCTGATGAGCAGGAGGTAGGGACCATTTGATGTTAGACTGTAGTAGTTGGATATGTTCTGAGACGGACAGCATTCATAACTTTTGAGACAAAGTGACACTTGGAAGGCTCTGGATGCCACCCTGAATGGATCCAAAGGATAACTCCTTTTCCTTTGGGAAAGACTGCTCATTTAGAACCCTGTGGATCAAATCTGTGAGAAAGAGGGACCTAGAAGAGCAAGCAAGAGTGGTAGCTCCAGCTGAGTCCCTGCCAGGGGCTAAGCAAACCAGATTCAAAACCCAAGGTCCCCAAACGGCAGCAGTTTATGTTCTGATCTGTTTGTTATATGGTGGGGTTTTTCCCCCCCTCTTTGGAACTCTTGTGTTGTTGATAAAATGAAATAATTACTTTTTAATTAAAATAAGAAAGTCAGACCTGTGCTCATCTTTCTTGGGTGTATCTGCAGCATCTCTTTGCAGAGCACTTGCCCCAAGATCAGGCCTTAGGATCCCTGACCCAGCTTGAACCTCAGTGTGCTGCCCACCTGCTGAGAAGTGTTAGTAATGGCACAGAGCAATAGCCTCACATCAAGTCCTGTCCTACTCTGCACCTGCTTCTAGTAGAGACAGCTTACCAGGGGTTGTGGCCAAAACATAGGGGAGGAAGCCATTGTGAGAAGTCTTTATGGATGATGGTTAGAGGCAGAGGCATTCCTCTTTAGCCTTCGTCTCTGTTGCTGCCCGTCGTGCAGGAGTTTGACATAATCTGTAGGTAGAACCTGAAAGCCCTGAAGAGCCTATAATACACTTGGCATCAATGTCCCAAGCTTCCCCTAAGGACTTGCTGCCTCCCAGAGGATGCCATGTGACCTGACACCTAGGAAGCACCTCCGGGCTCAGGCGCGGGGCCCCAAAGCTGGTGTACTCACTTCTTCTATGAGCAGAGAGGGCTGTTTTCCCACCCAAGAGTCCTGCTCTAACTGGATATGGTGGTCCACACATAAAATCCCCAGGACTTCGAAGGTGGCAGCAAGAGGATTGGAAGTTCAAGGTCATCCTTGGCTACATAGCCAAGTTCCAAGCCAGCCTGGGCTCTGTGAGCTCCTGTCTCAAAAAAAACAAAACTTCTGTCAACAGTGGATTTGACTTCCTCCTGAAGTGTCCAAACTGTACCCCTTAGGCTATCAAGGGTGTAATAAAATTATTTTTATTGCATTGTGTGCAGACAGGTATCTAAAAAATTAACACAGTAAAAGCCTTAAAGCATTAAATGGGAGCATTCAACAATAAAGGAAAGACCGACCCTCTCCTTTGCATATTGGCACAAAGAACACAAGATCAATACCGAGGCAGGATGCGAAATACCAAAACACTAAAATTAAAGGCAGGCCTAATAATAATAGTAATAACGATAAATACTCTTGATTTGGCTTGCAACCTCTCCTATTTACAAGGGTTTTGGACTTGCATTGCATTGCCCTGCACATAGGTCGGCTGAAACAAAAGCAACACTCCTTCTTACTACCAGGCTATTGAAATATTGCACTCAGAGTAAAAGTCACCTGGATGGACATGGAACATCTAGCTACAAGATTATAAAGGTGACTTGAACGACACAAGGTTCATAACAAATATTGCACATGGAGCACAGAAAACTTGGGGTTTTGTTGTGGGATGTTTGTTTTCATCAACGGAAACTTTGCTCTTGCCAACCAGAGTCTGGGCCCAGGTAGTGCAACTTTGGTTCCCTAACTGATGTTGATAAAGCCTCTTCTGCGCAGCCCCTCTCTTGCCCCAAAAGGCAAGACCACGGCAAGGGAGGGCAGTCTTGAAGGATGACAGGTCCTGGGTCCTACACTTCCAACTTTTTGGATACTGCCTGGAAGAATATCCAGTCCCCATCAAACCGCAGAGGGGCCATGGGCCCAGCAGCCGAGCAGCGAACTTCCAGCCCTGCCACAGGCCACACCTGACCCTGTCTAGATGGCATCAGCTGCAGCTTTCTGCTTGGGCTCATGGGAAAGGAGGTGGTGAGGTCAGCTAGTGGCCCCGGCCTTGGAGTGGGCAGGATGTCTAACTAGGTGCGCAGGCCAGGGCCCTGGGGCTGGTGGCACTGTACCCAGTCCCAGAGGGCGCTTAAAGGAGCATGCAGTGCCTGTCCCCTTAGTAACGTGCCCTAGGGGAAGGGAACCGGCCAAACGCCTTTCTAAGGACTGAGGGCACCTCCCCACAGGTGGGGCTGGTGGAGCGGAAGCGCCAAGGACGAGTTAGGGAAGCCAAAGGCCTTGGGTCCAAGTCAGAAGAGGGCAGAAAAGCGCCAGGAACAACAGAGCCCACGTGACTCCAGCCCTGCTCCAGGACCTGGTGTCTGGGAGACGTAGCTCTAAGGACCTGCTACTAGGCAGCAAGGCCCATCTTCAGAGCACTCAGTAGGCAGCTGGGTCCCCAGGCAGGACCTGCAGATGGGGGACCAAGGGAGGGAACATCAGAGGCTGCCCGGGCCTCTAGACTGGCATTGGCCCCACGACTCTCGCCTGTCTCAGGGAGGAAACTGGGGAGGGGGTGCCGCCCTCCAGCTCCACAAATTCAGTCTTTGGCGAGGAGCCACGGGATATGGGGAGCAGGCGGCAAGCTCCTCCGCGAAGGCACCGGGCGGGGCTTGCTCGGTAGGTGCGGGCCTCGGTTTCTCCCCTTGGAGGATGGACCCCTCGCTCTCCTGGCCGCCAGAAAGCTCGCATCCACCGAAGCTGGCCGCCGCCGTCTCACCTGTGTTTGCCAAGAACTGGAAGGAAGAGAGGGAGGCCCAGGGTGTGGACAGGGAAGGGAGGGAGAGCGCAGGCCTTAAAGCGCTTGGCTCTCGGCTCGGCTCGGGCGGGCGCACGGAAACCTGGCTCCCGGGGCTTCCGCCTCCCTGGGTGCCCACAGCGGGGAGAGCGCGGCCGTGGTGAGGAGTCCGTTGCGCTTCTAGTTACAGAAATATGGGGACATTAAAAATACACGCGATGTCTCCTGTACACTATGTATAGCGCGGCCGGCCGGTGC